CCCCAAAACCCCAAAACCCCAAAACCCCAAAACCCCGTTGAACAATAGACAGGTTGAAGTGTTTAAATCCAAACATTAGCGCTAATTTATTATGCTTCTACTTTTTCTCTTTCCCCTTGACTCATTTTCAAAGTATGCTCAATAATATCAAGAGAAGGCTCCTTCTCTTTTAACAGAGATTGATTTTTCAGCCAATCATAGAGAGCTAATTGGATGTAGATTGATGGAGCCATTTTAATAGATGCAATAGTAATTCCTTTATAAAATCCTCTAATTCCATTGGCTTTATTAATAGATCTCAAAGTTCCGAAAAATCCTCCATCTAGTGAGGAATATCCCCTGGAGCCATGGACCATCATGCAGCGCTTAATAGTATCAAGAGGGTAAAGAAGTTGCATTGTAATTAATCCAGTCAGAAATCTTGGGCTGATGTACTTGGCAATTAAACTTCCAGTAGTATTTCCTTCTTGTTCTCTATATACAAGGTTAGGGAGTTTTAACAAATTCCACATATTGTAAACACAAATTTGCTGGGGTTAGATGCAGTTTAGAATTGTTACTGAAGCAATAATTAACAGAAGGTTTAGCTATTAATGTTACTTACGTTGAGGATTGAGCATTTGAATTTGACAATATATCATAAAGAGGAAGCATTATCATAGTGGAAGGGATAATACTGGCCATTGCAACTGATGATGCTTTGTATCAATTTCTAAATCCTCCCTCAAGTTGTGTCAAATTAAAACAATCAAAAGTATTCGAGTATAATCTCTTAGCTCCCTTTCCATTCATATCAGCAGTGATTCTTGTGAAGAAAAGCTCGAATGGATAACTCAAAGCTATAGTAATAGATCCTGATAACATAGCTGCTGCGACTCTTCTCCAGGCACTATTCACACCACTATATTTATTATCTCCTGCTGGCATTAATCTTCTCTTAAATTTGTCGTAGAATCCAATACTAGCTATCATTTTACTAGTGGTCAGATAGACCATTGCCATATTTCCTCTGTAGAGGGCTATCAATCCTTGATCCTTGACAATCCCTACACTAAATTAGCAATATTGACTTACTTCCTAGGACAGAAAGAGCTCCTTTTGGCTTTGTAAAGCCGGTATAATTAGCAAGATGGCTAACTTGGAGGACAACTTTCGCTCTCTCCAAAGGAGTCAGGAGAGATTTGGAAACCACGGCTGAAGTCCATCCAACAAAAAGCTGTGTCGTTGTGCTAACATGCTTTGGATACTTCTCTCCAAGCCCCTTCTTCTTTCTCTTTTTCTGGACCTTATTCTTGGCTGTGGTGGTGAGGTTGAAAAAGCCACCTAAATTCTTTTTGGAATCTAGAGGATCCCCATTCTCGTCAGAAGTTGACTTCCTTGACATTTATGGATGAAATAAATTATTTACAATAATATATTGAAGCTATGGGGTTTTGGGGTTTTGGGGTTTTGGGGTTTTGGGGTTTTGGGG